CTCCCAGCACACATAAGGGGGATTACCAAACAGACCCTGGGAGTCTTCAAGCTGGCACTGGACAAGCACCTAAAGTCAGTTCCTATCAGCCGGGCTGTGGCTCGTACGTTGGTTTGCGTGCAGCCAGCAGCAAAAAGCCTGGTTGATCAGGGGCTGATCCACCAGGAGGCCTGGTCACAGCCCGGGCCGCGGGGACGTTGACCCTGAAACTCTCTCCAGGTAAACTCCAGGCTACTATTGCGCCACAAGGCTGTATACTCGCCTATTTGTGGTTGCAGGGGTCGATTCATAGCTCCTGGCCTGCCTCTTCACTGAATGCTACTAGGTCTTCTCTTTGTTCCACGAGCTTTATCATACCTCGTTTTTAAAGTTATGTATGGTTCTGCCTCCACTACATCACTTGCTAGACTATTCCATTTCCCTGACATCCCTTTGACTCATGAGTCTTAAACTTCCAGGTGTAACCCCTTTTTCTGTGTTTCATCTCTGGAACATCCTGTCTCCGTCCACCTTGGTTTATTCCACGCAGTATTTTGTATGTCGTATCATGTCTCCCCTAACCCTCCTGCCCTTTCCAGTGTCGTCAGGCCGATTTCCCTTAACCTTTCTTTGTAGGACATTCCCCTTAGCTCTGGAACCAGCCTTGTCGCAAACCTTTGCACTTTCTCTAATTTCTTGACGTGCTTGACCAGGTGGGGGTTTTCCAAACTGGTGCTGCATACTCCAGTAGGGGAAACCTGACGTACAGTGTAGTGTCTTGAGCAATTCCTTACAAAGGTATCGGATGCTATTCTCGGTTTGCCAGGGACCTTGTACTGAAACAGTTATCTTGTTGATGCGTAGTTTCGGAGATGTGCTCTGTGTTAAAACTCACCCCAAGATCTTTCTCCTTGAGCAAGGTTTGCAATCTTTGGCCACCTAGCCTATACTCTGCAGTATTCTTCGCCCTTGCCCCATCTTCATGACTTTGCATTTGGCGGGGTTAAATTCGAGAAGCCCGTTGATGAAACCCGGTGTTTCCCGCCCGTCCAAGTCTCTTTGAAGTCCTGCCCGATTCTCATCTGATTTAATTCTCATTAACTTCACTCTGCAAACAGGGACACTTTTGAGTGTATCCCTTCCATCATGTCATTCACATATACCAAAAATAGCACTGGTCCTAGGACCAACCCCTGTGGGACCCCGCTAGTCACAGGTGCCCACTGTGATACCTTATCACCTACCATGACTCGTTGTTTCCTCCCTGACAGGTATTCTCTGATCCACTGCAGTGCCCTTCCTGTTAAACGCGCTTGATCCTCTAGCTTCTGCACTAATCTCTTGTGAGGAACTGTGTCGAAGGCCTTGCAGTCCCAGAAAATGCAGTCAAGCCACCCTCTCTCTCTCTCTCTCTCTCTCTCTCTCTCTCTCTCTCTCTCTCTCTCTCTCTCTCTCTCTCTCTCTTTCTCTCTCGTGTCTTCTGTTACTTTATCATAAAACTCCAAAAGGTTTGTGACATAGGATTTGCTTTCCATGAATCCGTGCTGGTTGTCATTTACATTCTTGTTCCGTTCCAGGTGCTCCACCACTCTCCTCCTTATAATCTTCTCCGTGACTTTGCATACTATACACATCAGTGACACTGATCTGTAATTTAGTGCCTCTTTTCTGACTTTCAAAAATGGGAACTACATTTGCCGTCTTCTATATCTCAGGTAGTTACCCAGTTTCAAGGGATGTGTTGAAGATTGTAGTTTACCTGAAGTTTACCTGCAGAGTTTTCTGGGGGTCAACGCCCCCGCAGCCCGGTCTGTGACCAGGCCTCATGGTGGATCAGGGTCTGATCAACTAGGCTGTGTTACTGCTGGCCGCACACAATCCAATGTACAAACCACAGCCCAGCTGGTCAGGTACTGACTTTAGGTGCTTGTCCAGTGCCTGCTTGAAAACAGCCAGGAGTCTATCGGTAATCTTCCTTATGTATGCTGGGAGGCAGATGAACAGTCTTGGACCCCTATTGGACCTTATTGTGTTGTCTCTTAACGTGCTAGTGGCATCCCTGCTTTTCATTGGGGGGGGGGATGTTGCATCGTCTGCCGAGTCTTTTGCTTTCGTAGGGAGTGATTTTCGTGTGCAAGTTTGGTACTAACCCCTCTAGGATTTTCCAAGTGAAAATAATCATGTATCTCTCCCGCCTGCATTCTAGGGAGTACAGGTTTAGGAACTTCAAGCGTTCCTGGTAACGACTTTCCTACCAATTCTCTGTCTCACTGAACCTCCTGCAAGAAGTTCCTCATACCTGTGTAGTCCTCTCTTTTATAGTTTGGCTTTTCCCATTCAACTCCTGTTTCCCTCTCCACTTGTAACTCTACTATATAATCAAAACTCAGAACCACGTGATCACTAGCTCCAAGGGGCCTTTCATGTGATGTCCTCAATGTCTGAACTGCTCAGGGTGAACACAAGGTCCAGTCTTGCTGGTTCATCCTCCTCTCTCTCTCTCTCTCTCTCTCTCTCTCTCTCTCTCTCTCTCTCTCTCTCTCTGGTAGTGTCCCTGACATGTTGATGCATGAGGTTTTCCAGTACCACATCCATCATCTTGTCTCCATGTTTTGGAACCCCCATGTGGCTCCAGGTTTTCCAATCGATCTCCCTGTGGTTGAAATCGCCCATAACCTATAACTTTGCTCTGCTCGAGTGAGCTCTTCTTGCCACCTCAGCCAGTGTGTCCATCGTTCTGTTGCTCTCCTTGTATTCCTCTCTTGACCTCCTGCAGTTCTGTGGCGGGTTATATATCACTGCAAAGACTGCCTTATGTTCCCCAGACTGAATTGTACCTATGTAATCCCTTTCTCCAATATCGTCCATGCCTTCCATTTCCTCAAATCCCCATCGGCTTGTTATAAGCAGTGCAACCCCTTCTCCCCCTCTTCTCCTTCTTTCCTCAGGATCTGATATCCCAGTCGGAAGATTGCGTCGAGGTACACTCTCCGGTACTCCAGTTTGTCCCCCAGTCGTCTTTTCTCCTGCAGGATTCTGGTTCGAGCTGATTCTGCCTTGAAAATTACTTTGACAGGCCGTTTCCTTCCACTCACAAACCACCCAATTCTCCTAAAATTTGTCACCTGGGTCATGTCGCCCTCACCTATTGCTTTCATGATAGCTTCAATCGCTTTTTTTCTTCCTCCTGTTTTCTTTCATCGTAGGTTGCCCCTTCAACTTCCTGGAGCCCGTAGACAAAAACTGACCTCTCCCTGTCATCCTCCCACTGTCTCCCTTTGCATCCTCTGAGGTGTTATAGTTCCTTCCATTGAAACGTTCCTGCCTTCAATCCCTGCCCTTGCTGGAGCCCCTATGCTCAGTGGACTGTGTACTCACCTAATTGTACTTGCCTAATTGTGGTTGCAGGGTTCGAGACTCTGCTCCTGGTCCTGCCTCTTCACTGATTGCTACTGGGTCCTCCCTCTCCCTGCTCCATGAGGTTTATCATACCTCGTCTTAAAACTATGTATAGTTCCTGCCTCCACTACATTGCTTGCCAGACTATTCCACTTCCTAACAACTCTGTGGCTGAAGAAATACTTCCTAACATCCCTTTGACTCGTATGAATCTTCAGCTTCCAATTTTGACCCCTTGTCTGTGTGTCCCATCTCTGGAACGTCCTGTCTCTGTCCACCTTGTCTATTCCATGCAGTATTTTGTATGTCATTATAATGTCTCCCCTGACCCTCCTGTCCTCCAGTGTTGTCAGACCGATTTCCCTTAACCTTTCTTCATAGGACATTCCCCTTAGCTCGGGAACCAGCCTTGTTGCAAACCTTTGCACTTTCTCTATTCTCTAATTTCTTGACATGTTCGACCAGGAGCGGGTTCCAAACTGGTGCTGCGTACTCCAGTATGGGCCTGATGTACAGTGTATAAAGTCTAAAACGATTCCTTACTGAGGTACTGGAATGCTATTCTCAGGTTTGCAGGGCGCCCATGTGCCGCAGCAGTTATCTGGTTAATGTGTGCTTCTGGCGATGTACTGAGTATTATACTCGCTCTTAGATCTTTCTCCTTGAATGAGGTTTGCAGTCTTTGGCCTCCTAGCCTATACTCTGTCTGTGGTCTTCTTTGCCCTTCTCCGATCTTCATGACTTTGCATTTGGCGAGGTTAAATTCTAGGAGCCAGTTGCTGGACCACGCATCCAGCCTGTCCATGTCTCTTTGTAGACCTGTCTGGTCTGCATCTGATTTAATTCTCCTCATTAACTTCACATGATCTGCAAACGGACACTTCTGAGTATCCCTTCTGTCATGTCGTTCACATATACCAAGAATAACACTGGTCCCAGGACTGACCCCTGTGGGACCCTGCTTAACACTGACACCCACTGTGATACCTCATCACAGACCATGACTCACTGTTGCCTCTCTGTTAGGTATTCTCTGATCCATTACAGTACCCTTCCTCTTATATGTGCTTGTTCCTCCAGCTTCTGTACTAATCTCTAGTGAGGAACTGTGTCGAAGGCCTTTTTGCAGTCCAAGAAAATGCAATCAACCCACCCCTCCCTCTCATTTCTTACTTCAGTTACCTTGTCATAAAACTCTAGTAGGTTTGTGACACAGGATTTGTATTCCATGAATCCATGCTGGCTGTCCTTTATAATCTTTCCACTCAAGGTGTTCCACAACTCTCCTTCTGATAATCTTCTCCATGACTTTGCATACTATACACGTCAGTGACACTGGTCGATAATTTAGTGCTTTATTTCTGTTTCCTTTCTTAAATATAGGGACTACATTTGCCTTCTTCCATACTTCAGGTAGTTGCCCAGTTTCAAAGGAAGTGTTGAAGATTTTGGTTAGTGGCACACGTAGTGTGTCTGCTCCCTCTCTAAGGACCCACGGAGAGATTGTGTGTGTGTGTGTGTGTGTACACTAAATATACTGTAATTTGAGTGTTTACAGGTAAAACGCACCCTTGGCCCACGTGCAGTTGGTAGACTGTAGTGTTAACCAAACTCTCCTTCAGGTGCGGTGTCGGCAGCCGATGCTAAATTACGTTCCGTTAACATTTCTCAAGGAGAAGCTGTGGACAGTGTTGGCCATTCGCCTAGTCAGCGTTACTACAGAGAGAGTTCAGCAACATTGGCCGATGTCGGTCAAACAAAAGACAAATTGCCCATATTTGTGCTACCATGGTGGGCCTCAGACTTCCAACATAAACCATCTGCTCAACCACTGACGGCTCACCAGTTTCATCACCAACCATCTGTACTACCATTACCGATCCAACAGTCATTGCCGGCTCCACTGTCCCAACACCAACCGTCTGCGCTACCAAGGACGGGCCCACTATCCCAGCATGAACAACTATTTGAGTTACTATCCCAGCCATCTGCACTCTCAAAAGCTAAACGCTTAGTTAGCAATATAAAAAAGAATGAAGCCAAAGAAAACATAGATCCCCATATAACTAATTTTAGTCCATTATCAAATGAAAAAAATCGAACAGGAAATGAGTGTGGTAACCAAGGTGGTGACATCCAACTGAACAAAAATGCCAGCATGAAGTTGTACCCCATCATTGTTACCATCCCTTCCATGAATGGGTGTAAAGATATTCTTGTTATTGATGGAGAGGCTCAGAAAACGACCCCTAGGACCTCCAACCCAGCTAAGATCTGTCCAAAATGTGGACTCAGAGTGGCTTCGAAAGGTCATCTCAAGAGGCACTGGACTGCCCATGGAGCCAACCAGCGTCACAAGTGCTTTTCTTGTGACTGCAGCTTTACTCGAAAGAAGAAATTGACGATACATCTCCACAAGGCTCATGATATTACCCCAGCTCTAAACGAATGCGAGATAGTTAGGTTGTCGAATGATCTCCACGAGGCTCATGATATTACTCCAGACTCTAAACGAATGCGAAAAGTTAGGTTGTCGAATGACCTCCAAGAGGTTTATGATATTACTCCAGCCTCTAAACGAATGCGGAAAGTTAGGTTGCCGAATGATCTCCACGAGACTCATGATATTACTCCAGCCTCTAAACGAATGCGAAAAGTTAGGTCGTTGAATGATCTCCACGAGGCCCATGATTTTACTCCACCCTCTAAACGAATGAAAAAAGTTAGGTGGGTTAAATGATCTCCACAGAGGCTCAAATTTTAAAATCCAGCCTCAAAACGAATACGAAAAGTTGGGTTGTTAAAAATTATCCCCACAAAGGTTTTCAAAAATTTACTCCAGCCTCTAAACGAATGCAAAAGTTAGGTTGTTGAATAAATTCCCCCCAGGTTCAAAAATTTTAAATCCACCCTCTAAACAAATGCAAAAAGGGTTAGGTCTTTTAATGACTCTACAAAGGTTAAATGAATTACCCAGCCCCCAAAAAACAATGCAAAAATTAGGTTGTTGAATGATCCCCAGAGGCTCAGGGATTTTAAATCCACCCTCAAAAACAAATTTGCGAAAAGTTAGGTTTTGGTTTTTGAAGGGTTTTTCTCCCCCCAAACAAAGGCTAATTGGGAATATTACCCCCCAGCTCGAAACAAAATGCGAAAAGATTTGGGGTTGTCAATGATTTCAGGGGGCCCTCATGTATTACTCCACCTCTAAACAGGCAAAAAAGTTGGGTTTTGTCGAATGAAAGGGGTAGGGTTTAAGCTTTTTTTCTAAGCAGTGATGACGGGGGTTTTTTAATGCAGAGTCCTAGCACAAAATTTTCCCCTGCAGTGTAGCCAGCTACCCCCTTTTTTTACCTGAAGCTAAATATAAAGAAATTTTTAAAAACCTTACGGCTGTTTAGATTTTTTTATGCCTGTGGGGGTTTGTCCCGGGGACGTTATGGAAATGTAATCCCCTGTTTTGAAAAACTTATTTTTTCTGCTATGTATATTTTACATTTTTATTCCCAAAGTTTACTATGTATATTCAAAATTTTTTATTCATTGTAAAATGTTTTCCTTTTTATTCCCCTTTCCCTTTTAAATTAATTTTTTATTGTATTCATTTTTTTAATTCCATGCCCTTTTTTCATTTTCTTGTTTTCCATGGATTTTAAAATTTGTTTTTTTTCTATTAAAATGTTTTACTTTTTAAAAGCCAAAAAGGGAAATTTTTTTTTTGTTAAAAAAAAAAAAAAACAAATTTTTAAATTTTTAGTGGTTTTGATTTTAAATTGTATATTTGGGGAAAACTTTTACATGACTCGGGGCCCAAACTACCCAGCTTTCCCACTGGGGATCTTCATTGACTTACGTAAAGCTTTTGATACAGTTGACCATGACTTGCTCCATATAAAATGGTATAAGAGGGCACTCCCTCAACTACCTAAATTCATACCTCAGCAACAGAAGCCAATATGTGTACACAAATGGGGCAAACTCTTCCGCACAGCCAATTACAGTTGGTGTCCCACAGGGAAGTGTCCTAGGCCCTCTTCTCTTTCTCATATACATAAATGACCTACCAAATGTATCGCAACTACTCAAACCCACACTATTTGCAGCTGACACTACATACGTCTTCTCTCACCCGAGCCCAGTCACGCTAGCCAATACTGTAAATACCGAATTGTAGAAAATATCTACCTGGATGAGGACTAACAAACTTACTCTAAACTTTGACAAAACCTACTTCATTCAGTTTGGAAACAGAGCTACAGATGTCCCTCTTAACATAATGATAAACGGATCACCTATCACAAAATTCACAGAGGGAAATTTTTTAGGAATCCACTTTGATAAGACTCAAATTTCAAACACACACACACACAACAAATTTCCAAGAAAATTTCCAAGACCGAAGGTATACTATCGAAGATACGGTACTATGTTCCACAGTCAGCCCTCATGGCCCTATATCACTCACTTATTTACCCCTATCTCACCTATGGAATTTGTACATGGGGCTCAACAATAAACCATCTCAGACCATTAATTACCCAACAAAAGGCTGCAGTCAGACTGATGATAAATTCCCATTACAGGCAGCACACTCCACCAATATTCAAAACTCTAAACCTACTCACCATACAAAACATCCATAATTATTACTGCACCTACTACATACATAAACACTTAACTCTGATATTAACCCTCCCCTCAAACATCTCCTTGCCAACCTCAACAGAACACATGCCCATAACACAAGGCACAGATCACTCTTTGATGCTCCTCGTGTCCATCTCACACTATGCAAAAACTCAATGCACATAAAAGGCCCTAAGATCTAGAATTCATTACCTGTGAATATAAAAGAAACACTGTCTGTTTATAAATTCAAGTCTCTTCTCAAAAATTACTCACCCACAACTAAATAAATACTGAATAATTGTATCTCATAAATTGTATCTCATAAATGTTTCTCATTATTGTATCTCAAATGTCTAACCTGTGACCCAATCAAACTTTATTTTTTAATTACATTACCTAGGATTATTATTATTATAATAAAAAAGAAGCGCTAAGCCACAAGGACTATACAGCGCTGCAGGGCAGGAAGGAAGCGAGGGCTTCAGGTGGCAAAAGGGAGATGGATGAGTAATAGGTTACGGATAACAGCGAAGTAGTGGATGGTGAAAGGGTAAAGGCAGCAAGAGACTGAACTAG